TAGGCACGTTCGCTGCACACGTACATTCCCACATGCACTTTGATGTTTCTATTGGTAATCCAGGTACCACTGGTGACCGGGTGTAATCTGATGTAAATATCTCCTCAATGTAACTAGAGCATAACGGCCGGCGAAGGCCAAAAATCTGTAAAAATGGTGTGCGGACTGAAAGGAACCACTTCACAGCTCCATCGCTTTGAATTCGCTCCAGCAGAGAGAATACTCCCACGAACAAGGAGCAAAGCGTGTGTTTTACAGGGTACAGATCAATCCGGTACATATTTGCAGGAAACGTAAACCAGATAAAACGCTGGCATAAGAATTACGACGGACGGGGGCGATGCTGAAGGNAGGCCAAAAATCTGTAAAAATGGTGTGCGGACTGAAAGGAACCACTTCACAGCTCCATCGCTTTGAATTCGCTCCAGCAGAGAGAATACTCCCACGAACAAGGAGCAAAGCGTGTGTTTTACAGGGTACAGATCAATCCGGTACATATTTGCAGGAAACGTAAACCAGATAAAACGCTGGCATAAGAATTACGACGGGGGGGGGGGCGATGCGGAAGGTCATTTTTCTCTTCAAAAGCCCGATGACCACATACGTTTTCTGAACTTCCAGCTAACTGAGTGATGAGAGTGGCACCCACTTGTCACTTCCAAAAAGACTGGTCAATCCATCAGCAATTTACACTGTGACCAGTCAGCCAAAATTGATTCACACTTAATTACGCTGCACTGGCTCAATGTTGATGGACAGATCAATTCGCTGGGCGTGCATTCTGGTTTATCCTCAGCAGTGATTCAGACGTCTAATGATTGAAACGGAGTTATTGTTCTTCGTAAAACTGTGCGCAAGAGTTCTCGAAAACTTCACTGGGATGCTCATCATCGATTAAAATTAGGGAGACGCGTATTACGAAGAAAACCCTGTCTGTGCCAGAAACACAAATAAGAAGATTCTACACCATTATTTTGTCTACCTAATCATTTTTTCTGGGGATTTGACTTACGCTATGTTGCTGATACATCATGTTCGGGAAACCAGATCTACAAGCAAAACCTAGCAGAAAGTTGAAAAGTTTATCACTTTCATTGTTCACCAAGCACGCGGATCCTCATCTAAAACAGAAAACCACAGGCGGTTTGAAACCCCGAGTCCAGTCAAAAGGGGAATTGGTTTGCCTAATTCTAGGTCATGAAACTGTGGACAGTGACACTTGCTAAACGACAGTCGCCAACCTGGACGAGAATTCAGACAGAAGAAATACAAATGTTTGTTTTATTTCCAATGGAAAGCTTCCATTGATAACCCAACTGACGAGTTACAAAAGCGTCTCAATGAAAGTTAAGAAAACGTCATAAACGCTTGCACAGGCATGCGTTAACTATTACAAATAAAGTACTTTGTGTTCTCTCTCAATGCCAAATCACTTTTAATGGCCTGCGCCGGATTTTCCTTTTGCGTGTGATATATAGTTATGGCTGAAAAATGAAATCCATAGGCAACCTTTTTCTGATCACACCGTATTGCAGCACAGGCTGCTTGACCCAGATTTACGAAGCCTTCTGAGGTTTCTATTGATTAACTGTTTAGCCCACAGCGTTTCTTCAACCCTTCATGTGGATTAGACGGAAAACCGAGTTTCAGCAGTTGCCAAAAACTTGGTTATTACGCTTTGACAGTTCCATTCAGAGCGGAAAACATTGGGAACAGGACGAGCTGATGGAAAAATTTACCCAAAACCTAAATTTCACATGTCACGAACACATTTATTTATCAAGCTACTAAAAGTCATCCGTCACAGAATCCTGGAAAGATAGGGAAAGGTTAAACCAAGAACAGTGTTGTTTAATAACTCAATGAAATCTAGGTAGTTCAGTGGTTAAAGAGCGAACTTATTTGCTGGAACGTCTGCTCACGAAGCCGACCTCAGCATCTGGACTGGTCTAGGCTTTGGAAACTTGATATCATTTCATGTTTGCTTCGGATGGCATGGCAGCGGCGCACCGGCAAAACAATCATTCATAAATTATCAATCAAACTGTCCAAGACTTTTAAAAACGTTATCCGACCTCTGAAACTACGAGTGTGGTAAGTTTATCTAATCAATTTTCACCTAACGATTATTTGAATCGAGCTATCGCAACATCGAGAGCTGGTTACACGTATTCAGCCTGTACTTTTGCCGCGACGGATGAACAGTGACTTGCGATGGAAGTTCAGTCAACCTTGAAAAGAAACCAACTGAAACCGACATATGTGTGCTCGGGGAGTCTTGTTCCCACAAAGGCTAAGTGATTCAGCCGACTATCTTGTGTCACAATCTTTTCAGAAAAACAAGATAGCAGTTTGCTGGCTGAAACCGGACATCATCTGTGTTCCAATTTCGAACCAAGCTAATTCAGCTTCTTGGCCGTATGATTATTGGTCGTCGAATTGAACCGGCTATCAAAGAGGACATTATGTACCTCAGAAGACCATAGGTCGTCACTATCAACTAGGCGTAAATGATCAAACCATGTCTAATTTAAGCTCACCGTGCATTCAGGTTCAATTTCCATATCATTATAATCCAACGCGTTGCAGCTAGGCACCTGAAGGTTGTTACAGCTGAACGATTGGTGACTATTGTCCAATTAAATACTCTAAGTAAGAATCGTGGTGAATGCAATATTGGACTTTGTGGGGGTGTGTAAACATGTTTAATTCCTTGCAAGTCATTCGATTCAACAGAACAACGTAACAGTCTTGGTAATAGTGCATTAAATCGACGATGGCTTGGCTCCTAGGGACCAGTATGGCCCCTAAAAATCTTAGACTCTGAATGAGAAGACGATAGATAGCAGAAGAGGGTCTTTGGCTGGACTTCAGCTATACAGTAAATGTCGAAAAAACAGGTTACCAGATTTCCGGCACCGTCTAGTTGACCATGACAAACTTTCCTACTTCCCTTCCCAATCACCCTAACCCACGTGTGATGGAGAGGATATAAACATTTTCACCGCGCAAAATTAACTACCTTATTAAAATGATGAACAAGTGGATTTCTATAATCCCCAAGTCAGCGAATGCTTGTTCAGGCTGTCGTGCATCCAGATGGGATAGAAAGGTCATCAAACCTTCGCCCCTTTCACAGAAGAAAACGTTCCGTACTCTGAATGGCTCGATTCCTTGGAATCTACTTCTGCCTTCGTGTTTTGCGGTCAGATTGTATTGAAAAACATAAAAGCAGACCGTATAGAGCTCTCCTTCAACCATTCATCCAATGTTCTGTCAATAACTGAAAGACCAAATCTGTGTTTCTTGCTTCTCTAGGACTAGTTAAATAAGCTGAGCGTCGGAAATATTGCATTCAGCATGTTTTCCTAGCTGGTTAAGTTGGAAGACAAGCACAGCTGAGTCCTGGAAAACTGCGTGAACACCGGTTACCAAGATGATCTTGGATGACATTCGTTGTTATCTACGGTAACTAGTCGGAGTCATCAGAATTCACGTGCTTGACCCCTGAATTAAGAGCCAAGCGAAGTTCATCAGGCTAAGAAGGCCTTTCTAATAAGGAAAGAGTGTCATCACACAAGTTCGGTCAGCAAACAGTCTTGGAAGAAAGTTAGAAGAGGAATTGTGGGTTAGATGTGGAATGCACCATTCGTATTTTGGCGAACCTGCTCATGTAGGCTGAATTTTAGAGGAGGAAGTGCGCCAACATGAACCAGCAAATGAGCGAATGTAACGTATAGCCATCGTAAACAGAAATATCAAACATTCACAGCCATTTTCTAAAATCTGCACGTGCTTTAACACTCAATGTTATCTTCGTGAACCATCGAGCCAAACAAATTGATGCGAAACCAACTGTTTGTTTTCATTACCATCGCCTCTTTTTACTTTTCGTCATCACCGCCGAACCATTCTGTTTTTAATAATAGATGTTCGGTTCGCCATTGAAAAAAATGTATCGTTGGCCGGTAAACGTTTTATCATCATCAATGATAAGGCCCTGCAAATGCAGCTCCATGCCAACCGATCACTAGAAACATCTGCAACCGACATTCTATGGTAAATGCCGGTAGTCAGGTGAAGTGAAGTCACAAACAAGTAGCACGCACTATGTTGGAAAAGCGAAGGGAAGTTTGCGCATTTGATGGAAAAAGCTACCTGCCCCTTATGTAAAAAAAACAAGAGCTAAATTACCACAGTATCAAATAATAAAGGTAAAATAAAGGAGATAGCAAAAGGGAGAAAACCTTCATTTCCTGTTCTACTGTCCTGACATTTACACGCTCAGTCTTTGCTATGTGCATCGAGCTTTTCAACCTTGCAACAAACTACTCATAAACTTCCTGGAAACAGTTTGGCGGTTTCCGAATTCGCATCAACATTAGGTTCAACTTGAACACCAAATTGTACGGAACTGACCAAATACAATACACCAAATTAAGTTGTGTGTGTTTCGCCATGTGAAGAAAGGTTAGTCATCTCCACCAGCATGGCAAACCAGTGCAGCAAAAATGCGTGTTCTGAACCAAGAATGACATCGTAAAAGTGAAGAATCTGGTCTGTCCGAATGGAATTCTTGGTAGATCCGAGGATTTGTTTCCACTATGCATGAATCATGTCCATCATGTTAACTTACACCCAAACAGCGGCGGTAAAATCTCCAGACAAGTTCGTGCATATGTGAAGAGGCCTGATGTTACAAAAAAAGTACATCGAATTCCGCGAATATTCCCGTTCGGGAAGTACCCAAGTTTCTTGGTGGGTCACCTGATCGGGGCTAATAACTATATTTCCAGCTGAACAGGTAAGCCGTTAGTCAAACCGGATCTGTTTCGAATGGGTAACAGCAAGCTTTGTTGTACTTTCCGAAATGAGAACACAGTACCTTTCTAAGTCGCCTAGGCAACGAATTTATAACGACTTTGCGTGTTCGTCCTACTATAACGGAATCGGCTATGCATGGAGGGTGATCTGATAACAGGAAGCATGAACATACATACCTTTCAATTATGTAGAAGTATTCTCCATCCTCTCCTTGTCGGATAATTACCTGATCTTTATGGACGGGGAATTCTTCCATGGCGTCCACTACCTTGTTCAGCTGAGTCTGTAACGGTGAGGAAAGAGAGTAACTTTACAGGGGGATTTTGACGTTGCTCTTGACAACCGAATCGGCAAGGCAACCGTTCGGAAATCCGGGGATGAACAAACAATGTTGTTGCTTATTACGTAGTATGGAAATGGTTTAACAATAAGAATGACCGAACGCTTTTGTACTGAGGACAAAGAAGGTGAAATGCGAATAATCGTAAACGTGAAACCTTTGTCAAAGAATGAGTAGTTTCCATGTTTTCCGCGTGAATCCAACCACCGAATTAAATTAGGTACAGGATAGAGACCCAAGTTATTTGCTTTCTCCAAGTTTGTGAGTTTGCTTTTAAATGCCTCCCGTGTAACAATCTGTTGTACTGTAAATTCAGTTGGATAGTGAGAGGGTGGTTGAAGTTGTTATTTGCTAGCAAGCCCAAATACCGGGACAGCTAAACCGGAATGGATGGAAATCATTTAAATAAACTGGGGATTTTAGTAGCCCGCCGGGCCGAGACTTTATGTAAGTCGCAGGTAGCTTGTCACCGAAAAATCAAAGCCATTCATCGTTTGCAATCTGCACACCGATTAACGAGAAGTTTCCACTGGCACTTCATTAACTGAGCGAAAGTTCTCGTTAAATAAATTACACGTTTCACTTGAGATTTTGTCCTCTAGTGAAGCCAGTAAAAAGCCGTGAAACAATATACATCCGTTTTTTCTTTATTGGGGAATTATTGGAATATGCATGTTCCACGAATCTTGAGGGAGTTTCTAGCCCTCGACCTCTAGGCTAATAGTTCAAACGTGACCATTCGGACACCAACAGCTGTTTAGCCTTAGGATCAACTCGAACGCAGAGGGGATAAAACAGCATTCATCCTTTATTACCTTATCCCAACGCTGCTCAGCCGCTCTTGACCTAGATGCTCTGTTCAAGCCGCTAGTCAGGAGGCGGAGGGTTTGGAACTCCTTGAAGCTTCAACCGCTTTCTCGAGTCTAGTGGAATAGGTCCAGTGAACTTCAGCCCGATTACATTCGATTGATTTCTGAACTCTGGTCCTGTTCAACCAAAACTTACATATCGTCGGTTGTATGAAGATGGAAGAATTTCGCTTGAAAGCGACATTTTAATCCGACCCATTTTTCTGATCGTCCGACTAAGGGTCAATCTTTATTCTCTAATTAAATTTACTTTATTGCTAAGGCAACAATGTAGAACCAACCAATCTCCAGCTAAAGTTCATTCTTCGGTCGGGCGTATGGCTTCTCATAGTGTATAAGGCTGCTGGCCATAGAAATGAGTGTCACTGTTAGGTAATCGCTGGATCATATTCAGATTTTAAACTCACAACTGATGCACTTGAATAAAGCATTGCTTTTCGGCATTGCTACGTAGGTGTAACCAGGCCTTCTCGAAAAATAAACCGACTGTTGTTGTATCAAAAATTTAAAAACATTTATCCGCTGTTTTCAGTTCTCACACATGATGCGTGTTGCGATTAATTCTTGATCTATCAGGGGCATGTAGTGGCAGAACAAGTTGCCGCTCCATGGCTAACACAACGACGACCTAGTTAGTGTTAATGAAGAAATAATATGGGACGGGATGATATGAGCAAAAAGAGTGTAATAACAACGTGAAACATTCCTCAAATGCTTCGCACAATCAGGCCAAAGGCAATACGTGATAGTTGTCCCTTGTAAGAACAATGTTTATTGTATATTCGATTGAACTTGATATTCTGATCACTAATGTAGGAGACACCTTCGAGGGCTTGCAGTATTTTTCATCTGAAATGGAGTTTCCCCATAAAAGAGTTAACTAATACGACCTGACCCGCATGCTATCTGCAATCATATTTCATTCCCATGCGGGTGTTTTTCAACAGACTTCACGATGATCAGACCGGATTTTACACTTTTTGGAGCTAATGTTTTGAAACCTGATGCCCGTGAAATGCTGTATTTCATGTTTAAGCGCACATGCTGAACCTGTAGGACGTTCGTCAGCAACGCCCTCTAGGCCATAAAAACCGGTGTTTTTCTCAACCAACAAAACTTATCTCGCCACCAAATGCGATAATTGTACTCTAATACAGCAACCAATACAAGAATCATATGAGGAAGTGGGTGAACACCTCGACTGCTCTTGTCAAGACTTAGGCAACCTGGCTTCCGCTGGGATGAATGGCGGCTAGGCTTTGGAAAGGTGATACGGCTGAGTGATTAATTTCTACTGATTGGACTATCATGCGTTTTATCGTTCAGTCTTCGAATGCATGATCTCCAGCCAACAGCTTAACTGTGAAATGCTTGAGGGCTTGTACCTAGCCATGTTTAAATGGCGCATGACCAAGTCCGAATTTTCTGGTAGCCTGAGTAAAGTCCCGTTCGCATGTTTGTAGAAACACCGCTTCGGTGGTCGACAAGAAATCTGTGCCATTCGGTGTCCCCCTTCAAAGGAAAAGCACAACCATTTGGGAAACAATAGATTATTGTTCCTTCCGATTTAGAAGGTTTGTTTCCCCGATGAGAATAATTCAGTTGAAATGTTCAGTTCCTACGAAATCCTCTCCCTAATGTAGGTGTTACTGTCTGGAGAATTTATCGATGGAGAGAGTATTGTATTGTTTAAGACTTTGCGACACCCGAACAGTCAGAAAGATGTTGCAGAAAAACTGCGTTGCGGGATGTTTTCAGTTCTGGCAGCAAACGTAAATCAAATTAAAGGGCTGGTATCTGTCGTATGGAGCTAAGGCGTAAAGGGAGCGATCAATAAATCCACGTTACACTCAGAATAAACTTGACTTAAACTTTAGACTTATGCTGACTGATCATCATTTATTCAAAGAACCTCGGACTAAGCGGACGCATGCCTCATGTCACGACCTGAAAAAAATCGCGGACTACTAATTCGTGTTATAGCTAGTTATGGTAAGTTTGACATATGGACAAAATTGATGGTTTTATGTCAACCTGGGATGTTGGGCCTCTTAAAGGTCCAATCTGACAGGGAATCGCAGATGAGTTTAGTCTAACAAACTCGGTGTTTCAAAGACTGCCAGATTCAGTGCATGCATTTTTAGAGTGAGATAAACGAACACAGATGTAAACGTACATATTTGAAGCTCATCACACAATTTACTTGGATCCCACTTACGTTTCTAAAACTCCTTGATACTCCAACGGAAGCAGGAACTAACGCTCTCCTGCAGTTCAACCTAAGTTAAGCAGCTGTAAATGAAGCTTGTCATGGTAGATCGACTATGATTGAACCAACCATTCAGCAGGCATTTGCCAGTGGCCGTATGCACTGAGAAAATCCACTAGTCCTCAGTAAGTCTGCCACACTTAACGCTCTAGTGGTAAAGACGGAACAATATTGTTGTGTCGTCCAGGATGATCCTGATGGTTCTAATGATGACCTTCGTTTGATTTCTACGTCGGGAAACATTTCCCCACTGCTTCAGTTGAAACTGTTGCATAGAACTTGTGAACATCAGGCGAGCTCAGCAGACTAATAACGGTGTGGCTTCAAAATACCGTTCCAATGAGTTAAACATCGTATGGAAGTGTGGCCAATAATTCCAAAATCAGTCCCATGCACAACTACATTCTCTGTCGTACGTATGCCCACACCACATGCTAGCTTAGTAAGACTAACATTTTTTGGTTAGAGACCAGGAACTGAGTGTACAGAAAACAGGGCTTGACGATGAAAATTTACATCTCATGTGCCTGTAAATGGTTCTTCTGCACTGCTTCTAATTACTTGAGTTATAGCATAAGGTGTCAGAACACTGATATAGCCCACATTGGATTTTTTTCACAGACCACGCAGAACAGAGAAGTTTTACTACTACTACTATACTATCATTTATTTTTGAAGAGCATGGTCACACACATAAAAAGTGAATGCAAGCGATGAATGCGAAAGAGTAACAGGAGAATATGGGAGAAAGGAGAGAAACGTCTCATTCGAGATCATGCGAGGGGCAGTGCCAGTCTGATGAGGTGAATCCCAAAGTATGTAAAGATTTTGGTATGGGAACACGCGTCTAAAGACCAACAACCAAAGAAAGGACAAACAATGATGAATGCTCTTCAAGGCGCAGTGTGCGCTAGCACAGTCAAGACTCGCACATCAGGCACAAAGTGTCCGTCATACTGGGTCTGGTGTGAGATTAAATGGCAAGATGTACCTTCAACGCCATATACCACGCATAAAAGTGGTGCGGGGCCCGTGACGAAGCCAGTGCAACCCATGCAGTGTGATCTACCATGAGAGACTTATTTCCTCCGAATAATATTTGACGTATTTCAGTATTGCTGATCAGTTGTTTCCGTGAGAATCGGGCAATGCTCCGAGGGCTTCGACGATCAAACACTGACGGTCTTTTGAAATCCTCGGCGTGCAACGGCCAGGCTTCTGACCCGTATAACAGTACGTAGTGCATGCTAGCATCGAAAGTCCGACCCTATACGTATAGCTGATGTCCTGCTCACCTTACAGGTGATGCATGTTCTCAACGGCTGCTTTGGCCTTCCCAATCCTGATGGAATTATCACCTATTACAAAACCATCAGGAAAGATACAGCTACCGAGATAGACAAACTTGTCTACCACCTCAAGTGACTCATTTACCAGCATGAGACTAAGGCTCGAGCCTACCAGTCTCGCAGTAACATCTTACACTTTGCAGGTGGAGAGCACATTCCGAACCGTGAGGCAAAATTATTTAGATAAAACGATGTAATCCGCATTATGATGGCGTTACATTCGAGAACAGCTATGTCGCCTCTGTATCCAGTTATCTGTGAGGGACGCGTCGCGAGCACCTCGATTCCATAAAAAGCATAAAAAGCTGATAGCCAGTCTTCCATATTCGTACGAATGACGAAGTTGGAGAAGAAAAGTGAAGGAGGATAGCCGTGTTTGGAATCACTTGATGTGGTTAACCCAGGTGAGGACTCCCAGTAAACTTTCTGACGTCCTCGAGAGTTGGCGTACACCGCATTACGGAGGGTCAAGAATTTACGCTCCATCGACAGTGCCACAGTGACTGACGATCCACATAACTATAGCCATTGTTGGTTGCTGGACAAAATGTCAACGCGCCAGAATCTGTCGGGGGAGGGGTAAAAATGCAGCCAAAGCCTCCTTTTGCAGAATGGAACCCAGCTTGTTTTTCACGGATCTGCGTGCCGCTGTGTTCAGCCAGCCTTCGAAGACTAAGATAAGAGAGCACCTGCGGTGCCGCATTTACCAGGCTCATACAATTGTGCTTTCACAGCGTCCGCGTACCCTTTTTTGAGACAGGAATAACTGTTGGCAGACAACATTTCGTTTCCTTCTCTTCGTTCCACATCGCGCCCATGAGCTTTGGTAAAGTTGTCGTGAAAGATTCTCCACCTTCTTTGAAGAGAACTTGATACAGACCGTCATTTCCTGATTCCTACTCTCGTTTCGTTATTGATATTTCGTACTTTGTTTCTTCTGACAGGCTTTTAAGGTGTGCGTTAAATTTCCCCGTATGCACTATTTCCAGAGACTGTGTTGCAAAAGGCCGGCTGAACTGTACTTTGAAAGGCTCAAGCCCACTTTCTAGTCGGGGTTTTGATGAGTGAAAGAATGGGCCGCCTTTTTCACTTATCGCTTTACTAACCGCTGCTTTCATGGGGCCAGTGGATCGTATGCATTGATAAAAGGCACGGCTACTTCGATAGCAAAAGACCTCTATATCTTTTGTTCCTACCAAAGCTATCTGTCTTTCCTGTTTACTTTTTAGCGCTTGATTGCTTTGCGTGCGTCGACGTACTCGCTACCCGATGGTATGCATATCCTGGCATCAATAATGGGTAGCGATATTGACGATATCCAGTGCTCTTGTGGGCGAATGGGAAAAGTTGGACAGACAGCACTGAATGCTGTTGTTCGCTTCACATTTTGCCATGCTTCATTTACATGCTTATTTCCAATACATTATTGGTTTACTGTAAACATTTTTTGGGCCAGCTCAGATCGACATTGTTAAGCTACGGTAGTTCTTCAAAATGTTGGATTGGTATGCTACTGACCGAATTGCGAGGGCCTGAGGGCAAATGAACTGTTTGGCGCACGCGCCATGGTATGAATGGAACCAAGTTGTGTGCCCCAGAGGAAATTGCAGTCGCGAATCTTAGCTGTCCACGGGTGGCTGATGGCCATGTGATCCAACTGGATCCGTGGTTGGTTTGTGATCGGTGGACGCCAGGTTACGTAATGCGAACGTTTTTACTCAAAGTTCGTGCCGGGCACAAACAGTTTAGCATCAACACACACCTGGTGTGCGACAAGCTTCTACATTGACGGGACTCCGTCTATTTAGAAAGGTGTTATTTTGTTTATTGTTATTAGTCAGCGGGGTGCATAAGGTACAACGCTCAAATAAGTAACAGTGGACTGACCTAAAAACGTTTACTTGTATGGTGGAAAGGTACTGGAAAGGTACATCGATGAACAAAGAAATTTGCCGGCAACTGATACTCCTCGGTTTCTCCTGACCGAGGAAGATGGTTTGGTTGAGGTTCCCTATCATGAGCCTCTGAGTCAAGGGTAGGGGCTGCGCACTGTAGTTTTCTGTGGAGAATCTCCCCGGAGTAGGTGTCTTAATAGTTTGACCTAATCGGCTACAGGATTTTGGCCAAATCCAGGGAGTAAGGCATGGAGTAATGCCATTTGTTGTCCCTTTCTGATGTGGCTGCGTACAGCGACTCCCTTTTGAACAGCAGCGATCACTTTGGTTCCGCAAGTATTTTGACCGTACTGGATGATACAATGGTGGTCACGGTTAACCGTTTGGCGATCGGAATATGTGGATTTTAGGGCTGACCTTTTCTAACCCGTCTTTCCTTGGGGAAAGGCAGAATCGCCTCTTCCATAAATATGAACATCCTGGTCTCCAGAGGGAAACACCTTACTGCCTTCACACTCCTATCACAGGGTGGCAGCTTTAAGTCTGGGAACTGCACTATAACCCAGGCATATCACTTTAAAGCACATAGTAAAACAGAATTTACATTCCGCTCCCCCGCAGCTTAACTGCAGGCAACATGAAACGACTTGGTCCGCACCAGGTATATGGAACCTCACACTGGAACACATAGAGGGTAACGCGTAGTTTGAACACCGTTGTTAGTCACTGCTTTTGAATGCAAGCCAAAGAACGAGAATATCTTTTTAATATCTAATCCTTAAAGACTAGGAATAATGTGAGAGTCCTCCAGAACATTGAAATTTAAAAGATCCATGGGATACAAAGATTCAAAGCCATAGAGTGCTATCAAAGAAGGAGGTTGGGTAATAGCCAAACAGATGCCTGGACGGAGCTCTCAAGATTTTCTTCTTTTGACAGAAATAGACCGAAATACACAGAAAATGAAGCGGTGTTGATCAAATCGCCAAACTGTTAGTTCTCCCGCTCTGGTCTGCGGCGTGAATAGGGGTGTTTAGGCCCACTGCCAAGGATTATCTGGATTTTAATTAAAATCGACGGTGCTTATTCGGTGAATGCAAAGATTTGCCGATCTACTAAGCCGGTACGACCAACGACAGTACCACAAACTTGTACCAATGATTCAACAACAGTTTTTTAATCTACTTTCCGCTGGTTATCGTCGTATTTTATTTGCATCTGTGGAGTCACTCAGAAGCCCAAAGTTACTCAATAAAACTCAGCAGGTTGTCTCACGGCCCTTAACAAGCAAAAAAGCATGCAAGTTGGTTTGATGGAAATTATAAACCAAGTGAGGCGACATCAAAACGACCCAATCCATTCCTCTGATGTGCTAGCCTAACATGCTGAATTAAAACACATTTTTCGGATGCATGTGCTAGATAGACCTTACCTCGTCCAGTGAACGGAAAATAAAAATGGACTGTATCGCTTCGTTGATCCTTTGCCTTTGAGCAGCCGTTTTGGGGTAGATGACAGATTCTCCGCTATCTTCGACCTCAGGATCAAAACTTTCCGCAGCGACTGTAATGATGAAGAAATGAGGTTAGTAACTAAAAATGATCACACGTCGGCGGAGTAATTGTTTTCTTGGTCCCCCTATGCTCACTTCAAGAAAACTTCTATAAGCGAATGAAGATTTGAAGTGAAACGGATAGCTAGAAACAAGTCAACTTCCATGGATGCTTTCAAATCCAGCTGCCTCGACTAAGTCATCATGACTTTTACCGGTGTAGTTCAACTCCGAAAAAAGCATTTCGTACATTGTCCATTTTGGCTAAGCCAATGGATCCGGGCAAAGTCGATGCGTTCTGTTGAGTCAGCAGAACTTTTTCTGGAAGGTTGCTAATAGGATATTTCCGGTAGTTTCATTGAACACCAGATACCTTTGACTGACCATTGAGGTCAAGACAACTATTGTGTTTCCAGGAGGAGGCTAACTTTTTGCAAGTTTCTGGCCAACCCCGCACCTCTTCAGATAAAGAAACACGGTCACAGCTGGGTTAATCAGTTTTACCTGATCAACCTATTCAACCAACTAATCCAATCAATTAATCATGTCAAATGCTAGCCTAAATCTGGAATTGTCGAGATTGATGCATGGTCCTATATCCGTCTGAAAACTCGACAACAGTTGGAAGGGGCACAAATGCTCAGTAGCCCTATAAACAATAAATCGCCCTTTTTACAGAAAATGTTTCCTTAAAAATATTTCGAAAGTTGCCAAACATATATACAGATAAATATCGCTCTGACAAGCTCACTCCATAAGCCCGTTTGGCCAGAGTGAACTTCAAGTACTCACTGCATACCCTTTAGCCCACCGTATGTCTGAATCGGCCTCCCCAGTATATAAACTGCGGCAAACTGCTTTAAGCTCTCCATTTCTAACCTTAAATTCAGAAATTCCTTAGTATTATATACTGCGAAGTCTCCATTAATGGTTTCATGTACACTTTTTCAGACACGAACATCGCTATCCCAATAGACGTTCTCAAACAGCAGCCCAAACAGACAGAGTGGTAATCGTAGGTCATATTTTCTAATTATCTAACACTGATCTAATACTTCACCCGTCCTATCATCCTACGTCCTTACATGAAAGTGGTTCACGGACTACACTCCGTTAACAACACACCCTATTGTACTGCTAAAGTGACCCGTCTGAGCTAACGATCAGCTCCTATATAGAGCATAACATACCACATTTCATCACTCGCAATCAATAAACCGATAAGTGCTCTGAGAACTATTCGCGGTGTGATGACGCATCCGCTTGACGTTCGATGTAGGATACTTTAGCTTTTGGGCCTATAAGTTTATTCACTACACTTTCGAGAAAATTCCTTTTCATTTATTAACCATCTGAAATTGGAATGGATCGATGAAAGTCGGAAGGAAGCAAAAATTAAACAAAAAGAACAGATGGATTTAATGACGGCACAACAGCTACAGATAAGTCAAATCCACCTCGACAATACAATACAGCCGATATAATGTCCCCATCAGATTTCACTCTTCTACGAATTACCAGACCCTTTGAATATTAGAAAGCACTTTATTCCGAAAACCAGTTGAATTGAAGACCCAGGATTTGCTGAACTGGACAAGCCAAGTTTATGCTGTCATAAGTAGCTTTTCACTTTTTAACGCGCTCATGTGAACCGAGTCCCCCGGGAACTGTTGAGCTGCTAAAAGAAGTATTACTAAGATATTCTATAATATTATTAAAACACAATTAAAGGACACACTGAATTTGTAATCTCATCCTCAGGTTAATGCACATAAGACGGCTACACGGTTAAGAAAGTGAGCGGTAAAAAGAGCTACAAAAGGAGTCATGAGTCGTCGAAAACAATAGATATGTTGTATGCGCAACAATCTGACTAGTGGACTAAAGTGTCAGCGTGATTAGTCGTTGTGTAGACCAGATGTCGCATGTTACATAACCTAGGCGAATTATGCGGTCCCATAAATCATTTCCGGTAACAAAAGGTTGGATTGCATAGACGTGTTGCAAAAGCTTCAACCTGACCACATACAAAACACAGGATTTCACTTCGAAGAATACTCCTGTTAGCAAATTAATCTGGACTTCGCCGAAGATCCAACTGAATTCCAGCTGAATCTCTTGTTCATGTTATTTTTGACTAAAGATCCTGCAAAAAGGTGGCCCCTTATTTCATTTGGCATGGTGTTCGAAATGTAGGGTTATATTATACTGAAGATGTAAAAAACACTATTCATAAGGTTGCTTAAAGCGCTCAGAAAGCCTTTGACCGGTTCATTAGACAGACGCAGTTCCCGAGTTGTTGCCTACCTCAAGTTCCACCTGAACGCCGAATTGCACGCCATACGTGAAATACACTCGTTTGTAATGTAGGTTGGCGATCTTCAGGTCTAAGGTTGAAGTATGCGTGTGAGACCACATAAACGATTTAGCCAACCGTATTTTTATGAAAACTATTACCATGCGCCTCGATAAATGGTAGTTTTTGTACGGATAGGGCTTACGAAAATGTCCTCCATGAGGATTTGTGTAAATAAGCAAATGACTAAGTGACCTCGCAAGCGCATATTTTATCCCATATTCCAAAACGCTCCTGAGAAAGAGGAAATCACTCGCTTGACAGCAGCAACGGTGGCGAGCGTAGCTGGGCACCAAAAAAAAACGAAGTGAGCCATTTTCACAGAGCGAATTAAATTGACCGTTAAGGGCCTCATCCAAAGGGGAATGGAAGCCAATTCATCCTATGCGGTAATCTAGCAGGAATATTTCTGCTAACTCCGCGGTTTATGGATGGAGAAGGCATCCAGAGTGAAGGGTATCATACGAAATTACGGGCGAGCGTTAGCAAAGAAAATGCAACAGTTTCTCATGATAAAAACAGACTCGGAACCACAAAGAATACTAGGCCAAGAGGTTACGTCTTTCGTATCCCACCTCCATGCATGTTACCTTTGAGAAGCAATCAAGTGCTGTCGAAAAGTGTGGACAGTGTCTAGCCCATAATACAAAATTCTTGTTGAGTCGAGCAAGTAATTTAAGGGGATATCCAAGTTTTATGGCAAGCGAACAATCCACTCCATGAAACCCTGGCTGACTGCAGATTTTATCAAACGTTCGGCATTGGCAGCTATTATTTAGTGGATTCTTACCAACCAATAATGACAGTTTGATGACTGTCCTCGGGATGGCTGGCTATCCGGCTGAGTATACTGTGCTGAATACCCACAAACGGTTTGAGCGAACAGCAGAATTCCAGTAACTCCAGCCAAACTGACTCCTTCGCATGACTTTGCTGCTCATATTCACTCCAGACAAGCAAACCATCAGCTTTATACTTCCACCTATGGTATCATTCATTATCTTAGTAACTATCTTGCCCTTTACTGTGTGGCTTAACGACCAAGCATATATACTAAAACTATCTTAAGTTCTCTCAAGGACGAACAGCTATGCCAGGAGGAAGTCTCATCTGCACACACATGGGATCTCGCCCTCCAAAGAAAAATAAGGCAGAAGCTTGGTGGTTTCCTCCTTAGAAGATCTTCTCATTAAACTTGTGGTCTTGACGGCAACTGTTGTACAGTTTTCTATCATCTAAGTGTCTGCGACAGTGAAAATTTGTTGAACTAAGAATGATTCTGGTTTAAGCGCCAAGTGAAAATGACAGTAGAAAATCAGCAACTAACCCCTTCAGCGAGGGAAAACTGTGAGGTGTAATGTACAGTACTATAGTATACTATGTACAGTAATATTATTTGAAGACTCCTGTGGATTCAACTTCATACACTGACTGACCAACCGTAGACTGAGCATAAGCCGCCCACGTGTTTTATACCTGCACTACTATTGGGTTAGAATATGTGTACTGCACTAATGGCCAAATATTAATCCACATTGTTCTTTTGTTAACTGTGAGCTCCACCTGGAAGAATCTCAATCGGATATTAGCTACTATGCTCAGGCGGGGTAGAAAGTTTGACATGACCCTTCTCAAAAGATGAACGGTATTGCCCAAAATTTGTCTCAATTACAAATAAATGTTGGTCATTGTGGTTTTGTAAACAGTGTCTTCCGAGTATCCCGATCTAAGTAAATTATATTCTGTTGTTTTTAGGCGAAATCGCGTGAAGCCAGATCAGTGTAATAGCATTGCGTGCCACGAATAACCTACAACCGGAAACACTGGAATTCCTCCCCGTTGGACTGAGTAGAGACCTGGAAGAAAGATAGGAAGCCAAATTGATTGTTGAGTACTGGTCTCAGAGCTATGACGGAGGAAGAAAACTGGCAACTCAAGACCTGATTGCTGAGTTTTTCCTGGTTTTTCTGCTTTATCCTGAATAAACCAATGTGTAAATAAGGAAGAGGCTACTACCACAAACCTTGTAGTTTTGCATGATATCGGCTTGCACCCGAGACACCTAAATAAGCATCTGAGTAGGATTTACTAGTACACTGATGACAAACGGCTTGACAAATTTCCACCTTAATTAAATGATTAGAATGAAGCAGAGAGAGACCTGCTGAGCACAATGAAATATCTCAGCTTCTGTTAAAAGTAGGATGTAAAAGCCAGGACTGTTGGTAACTTATCATGCCATAAGTCATTAACTCCTAACTAATACTCAGCAACCATACGTACCTTTGACATATTTGGTGTATGAAATTGTACTAAATAACTGATGGCCTGGCAGTAGGAGTTATTCTGGGAACTCAACACGATACACACACGAAAGACTAAGTAGATACTCTGAGGTTACATCCAGAATCAACACAAGATCTGGAAGGATGCGCGAATGTACGCAGCAGTGTCAAAAATGTCAACACATCAAATACAAAAACCGCATTAGTGTTACTTATCCAACAGGACCATTGAATCAGCTAATTTGTGCAGTAAATTCCCTGCACGGCATCAGGAAAAGATGCCGAAGAAGGGTGTTGTAGAGAGGTGGTCACCGTACTCGAGTACACCGGAGAGTGGTTTTACCCCACATTGTGTTCCATAGCACTTGGG